ATCTCCAGGTATTGTGAAACGGTTGATTTTCCGTATTCAGTACAGATCGTATTATCTCCAGGTATTGTGAAACGGTTGATTTTCCGTATTCAGTACAGATCGTATTATCTCCAGGTATTGTGAAACGGTTGATTTTCCGTCTTATTTATTTGATTGTACTTCTACTACTATATGCCCATAGACGATGTTTGTTTCTAATTTTGAATCTGTTACTAAACATTCGATACTTATTCTATTCTGATAGCTTTCTTTACATGGGAAATTAAAAGTGAACATGAACAGACGTAAATTACAGTCAATGCGTTGCTTATAAAGTTAGTTGATGCGATATTTCAGTGAACTTCTGATTGTTTGTGTTATTCTATAAGTATTTTCTGTTAACAAAACGTGTATCGCCCAATGTATGTAGGCAGATTGCTTGTTTGATGTAACTTTACAGTGGCATAGTTAAGAAGAAGAAAAAAACTCTAGTAGTTGAGTGTTTATAAATGTTCGATGGCATTTATACACGGTAAGCCTAGAAAGTAAAGGATTAATGTTAGAATTATTCAGCGTGCTTGCAACTTGTGTCATCACGTGTAATGCTTTTGGTACATTCTACCAAAAGGTGACTGAACATCTTTTTATCATCTTGTAATAAATTCCTCTTTAGGACATCCGTTCTTATGGGAAACGAGGAGAGAGGATGTAGGTATGATAGGTAACAGTATGGCAGCACTTACTTGACCAACAATTACTGCATTAAATATCTTTACTAGCTTTAGTGCTACTTTGATAAACTGTTCTCATTCCAGCTTACAACACATTCAGTGTATTCTCTCTCTCTCTTGCTTTCGTCAGTCGATAAATTGTTTTGGAAAATATATGTCAAATATCACTGAAGAGGGAGATGGATAGAATTTTTTTTTAAAGCTCAGGCACGAAAACACTTAAACAGTAATCTAAATAGTTATAATAAAATTTACTCGAACACGGGTAAGATATAGGATTATAATTAACAAGTTACATTAAACACATCCTAACTTGTAATTTCAAACCATAACTTTCCGAGGGACCAAATATAATAAAAGCCAGATTATCTTGGTGTAAATAACAACAACAATATCAGTTTAAAATACAAGAACCCAATCTAGCATAAAAAAGGGGGCCTAACATGACCTGATGGTTAAGTCGCTCTGCCAGCTATCTGCGGGGCACGGGTTTGAATCCTTTTAGCCATGTGGAGATTATAAAGTTGCTGCCAATCGCACTTTTCTTTCGTAAAGAGCAGCTCAAGAGTTAGCGGTGGGTGATGTTGACTAGCTATCTTTCTTCTAGTCTATCACTTCTAAATTAGGGACGGCTAGCCCCCAAGTAGCTTTGCGCGAAATTCAACAAAACAAACAAGCATAAAAAAAGTAAATAAACTAGCAAAAAGGCACAATTTTAGATTTCAGTTGTTTTATTATGAATAATGCTTTTCTCTGATATAAAAATAGTTACATAAACGTTTTTAAACCTCAACTTACACAGCCTATTAAATTGACAGATACATCACTAAAGAATAAGTAACTGATTGCACACAAATACATTATACACTAAACCAGTCCCGGAAATTAAAATTTTTTGTAGTATCTATCTGTCTCCCGGTGGGACAACGGTAAGTCTACGAACTCACAACGCTAAATCCAGGGTTCGATTCCCCGCGGTGGACACAGCAAACAGCCTAATATGGCTTTACTCTGAAACAAACAAATATTACTATCCAAATTATTTGCTATTGTGCCATAGTAACTGATATCAATAAATAATAATACTGGTGGTTACTCTCAATATCGACATTAACAACTCTTTGATCTTTGGATATATTTGCTTCTATATATGTATTTTCCAAACATAATATTTTGAACTTTACAAAAAATGTAGATATTTTTAATAAAATGAATGGTGCAATGACGAGTGTAAAGCAAAATCGCATTCATTAATTTCTATATTTTCAAGGAAATACGGTGTGTATATATATATATATATATGTAATGTAGCGTTTGTTCCATCTTAAGTTGTTTTGTGAATGTTTATATATATTAATGTTTTTTATATATATTTGAACGTGAAAAGCAATGATGGAAAAGAAGAATTAGAAATATTTGTTCTCTGAGATAAGAGTGGAAAGTATACGTAACTGTTAATAATAAAAATTAATAATTTTTCTGTTCTTTTTTTTTTCTTCACAAGAACGGAAAAAAATTTTGTTGGATAGTGATGGGTTATGCAGCAGGTCGAGCGTGACATTGGCGCGCGTGTGTGGAGTTTTTGAAGAGTGCATTTTATTTCCATAATTTAAAAAGAAAAAAAAAAGAAGTTAAATAATGAAACGTTAAAGCTAATTTGTTTTATGAAAGCGAAAAACCTGTACTTCAGACTTTAGAACCCCTTTTGTGTTTGCAAGGTAACTAGCTAACCAGGAGAAATGAATCTGTGGCTTTATAACCATAGCCATTTGTTAATAATAAAAATTAATAATTTGTCTTTCTTTTTTTTATTTATATATATTTATATATATATATATTTTATTTATTTATATTGGTTCAACGTTAAGATCTGATCGGTTGGTGAATTTCACGAACTATTCACTCCTTTCTCACTTGGACCTGGCGCAGCCTGATGATTAGGGCGCTTGAGTCTCGACCAACGTGTTGAGGGATCGAAACCCTGCGATGACCATCCTCGCCCTTTCAGTCGTGGGGGTGTTATCACGTGACGGTCAATCCGGTGCTTCCTTAGTAAAAGAGTAGCTCAAGAGTTGGCGGTGTGTGCTGCCGAATTCCTTTCTTCTCTATGATTGGTTGTTCAAAGTAGGGACGGCGGCAGCTAACTTTAGTGGCTTTGCCATGAACAAAAACAAACAAACCTTTCTCCTTTCGCTACCGTATGTCTCTTTGTTACATTTATTAGGCTTGTCCCTTCAATTCTTGTGTCGTCATATGTGTTTTCCTATAGTGATTTATCACATGTATCTGTTGAACCTATCTTTAAAGTAACAAGCATTTGACGAGAGAATTGAAGGTCACAAACTACTTTTTTCTTCAACAAATTGTGGCAACAGTTTACGAATGGATGCGGAATGTCAGAATTGCTTGATAACGGAGATAAACTTAATCTTAACTGACGTTTCAACAGACTACAATTGGTGAAGGTAATATGGCCAGTGATTAATAGAGAGTGACCTTAGCTCGTTTGTTTGGAATAAAGAATTGACAAATGGATTTCCCGCATCAGAAACTACCTTTACACGAAATTATACTTTTGTATTCCTGAAGTAATTTTTATAAACATTAGCTAGAGAAATTAATTGCAGATACAAGTAACACCCCTTTCAAAAACATATGCACGATACCCGAGAACATTAGTTAATAGCCTGCGATTTTATTTTCATGATTGTTATTGTTCACGTTGATTGCAAATTGATATCATTGGGTCAATATCAGATACTTGACTCTAATCTGAATGATTTATTTTAAGTTATAATTGTCTACATTATGAATGTTGATTTTTCTATAACAATAACGTTTTGAACCAACTAGCTTGATAAGCCCCCAGGATTAAACCCAGTATTCAGACTATTTTTTAAGTATTTAGTATTATTGTGATGCTTCAGCACACTTGTTAACCTAAAGCATGCAAGATCAGAAATGACTGATGTAACGGACGATTTAAATAAGACTAAACGTTTTGGACCAGCCAACTTGATAAGCCCTCAGGATTAAACCAGTATTCAGTCTGTTTTATATGAAGATTCATAAGACATTTTATTTGTGCGCACACGTTTCCTTCCAAGTGTTATCCTGAAAGTGAGATATATTATCGTAAAGTGCGTGGTAACTATTAACCAAATATGTCAATGTATAGTAGTGTACCCTCAATAAAAATGTTTAAATATAGATATATTTTCTTCTTCTTCTAGACAATTGGTGGCTCGTAGCATCCTCGAAACACTACGTGTGGTTGCTGACAATGAAGAAGAAGTTGACCGTGTTGTGGTCGTTCTTCGGAAGCTTTCTGAAGACAGTGGTAAGGTCTTATGTGTTATTTCTTGAAGTATGATAGTGTGGAAGATATTTAAAAATTTTCTAAGCTCCTGTTTAGCTCTCTAAATGTGATTTTTACATACTTTTATCAAACTAAAAACTGAGTTGCGGGTCGGTCATTTAGCGTGCTATGATCTGTACTTGTGTAGTGAGATCTGTTTAAAATTTGAAGTTTGACAATAAAAAAGAATCAACTTATAGAAGTAATGTAATATGGGCATGTTATATTAGGCAACAAAACCCGGGACTAGGGCAGTATGAGAATTGAACATTTGAGCTATCATCAGCTCCTAATGATGTTCAGGGTACAAAGATGATCACAGATTTGAGTTTTACATGATTTTCCTTGAGGAAAACCCTTTGGTGTCATTTTTTGTCCACCTTTATATGGTTTTGTTAGCAGTATTTGCTGCTTAGAAGTGGCTAGACACAACAGACAAGAATAAAGTAGTGCGCTTTTTTTCTACTCTCTACTACTCTCTTCTACTGTCGAGTGGACAAATGCCTTTTATATACATATAAAAACAAACGTTTGTACGTTTCATGTGTAACTTGTAACACTGCAAAATTCTTTTGGCCATAAGAAAGTGTGGAACAGGATGATGTAGACTAGATCTACTTGCATGTTTATGCTATTGTTTGAAAGGCATTTAATAAATACATTTATAATTATAATACAAAGTTACAATTTTCACGAAAATCAACGATATAAAACTTTAAAAATATGAATTGAAAATGTGTATTCTTTTAGACAAATTATAAAATTGTTTAAATACTTGTAAGATCCAAAATCGTTCCATAGTTATTAGCCAAATCTACTTATCACAGACATAATTAAAATATACGTTATTATAATAAAAGGAAGCACTTCTCAAACATAATAATGAAAACGAAACGCTGTAATAAACTAATGTGTTTCTCGGTATAAAATTGACACCAGTATCAAACATTATGTTCCAATGAATTCATTATTGAAATGTTAATGGAAGTCGTATCACTGTTTTTTAGTTGTGCATATTCATATAGCTTCCGTTGATGAGCGAGCACCGTGTAATATATCAGGGCTTCACTGGCATTGAACTAGGTTCAACTGCTTCCCATGTAATTTTAACGTTTGTAATAAAAGCAGTAAGAGAAGCTTAATAAACACTCATTACCAAATGCCCGCTTTATTTTTAAGTTTTGAAACCATAAGAATACAATTTGGTCTCTTGGATTATATTGATGACAGAATAAGTTTATTGCAATGGAAGCCATAGTAGTGATTAAATGTCACAAAGATTTGAGATGTCTGTCTGTATTGTGTAAAAATTAAAAATAACATAGCTTTTGTGACCTCAAAAATCTGCATTTTTTAAACCCCTTTTAGTATGTTTATTCAACTAAAATTGGGTTAATATGTGCAATAAAGCGTCATTTACTTTTGAAATAAACATCAGTGCAGATTATGAAGGACCTTTGATTTGTCCACTGAGAATTTCAGTTGAATTTTGGAATGAAAACCCGTGAATTAGTATTTAATATCGAACACTTGTCATATACCTATTTCTACCCTGTTGTCATTTTCAGTTCTGAATTAATCGAATTTATTTGGTTACTAAAGCAGTGAAAACCGCCTCTTTGTTCTTGATGTCCCCCTGTAACTTTACACGCGTGCATGATACATTTTGCATTTGCTTTAATCAAGTGTATCTTACACCGACTAACCCTTTCCCGAACGTTTATAGATTGGGGGGGGGGGGTACAGGTGTTTCTGTAAGAGCTCAGAAGTTCTTGTGCAAACACTGTCACCAACAAGCAAACTGCAAGTACTGATTATCACTAACTGAGTATATTGTTTTCAACACAAGTATTACATTTATTGTAAAGAGCCTGCAGTTAAGTGATTAATGTCAGTGTTATGAACAGTGTAAATTTACTATGTAAAGTATGCAAATAGAAAGTAGGATATATTCTCTTTAAGTGCGTTTTAGAATATCGTAACTGCCAGAAAGAGTGATAGCTAACAGAACGACAGTTGATCTCATTATATACACATGAATAATTTTGTCACATGGGCAGTGAAAATCATCCCACGAATATTACTTTTCTAGATATACGTCGCCAGCACGAGTTGAAAATATGATTAGGTATTAAAACGACTAGTACTAGCTTTAGAAATAACCCTTTTGTTTTTCGTTGTCATAGATACGGGTTTTGTCACAAGCAGCAAGTTTTGTTCTATATCTGAGTCAGCAGAATTAATAGCCAAAGCTCTCGGTTTCCTCAAAGATGTTGAGATATACCACGCTTAAGAGAGCTGTGTGTAAAGGTACCGTTCCCTTTGTTTCAAGACAGACTGCACATTAAGCGTTCTATCTAATAGTACACTATGCTTCCACCGTTATCGTGTTGGCACGAGTTTACCGTAATCTTGAAGACAATACCTCTCACTTAAAATATTTTGTGGGGTTAATAAAGGATTGCTACATCTTCCTCCCCCTTGTCGTAAAGGGGAAAAAAAGTAAGTTTGCTGGTACTTCAACAGTTTTTAATAATAATAAAAAATCATCAAACTTTCCAGACAGTTATAATACTCCATAAAGAAAGTTTTGTTGCATTGTTGTTGACTGCCCTTTGAACATGTTGCATTATTGTTGACTACCCTTTGAACCCTTATAGTGCAGTAAAATAAAAAATGGATAAATCGAAGTAAAAAAATATATACTCAGACCTAAGACTTAAAATAAAAACAAAACAGGTAACCGAGCGTTTAATTTAATTTAATTTGCGAAGTTGTTAGGTAACTGTTTACCAAGGTCACCTGAAAACATCAACCAACAAACTTATTCATGAGCTTTTCAATAAGGGAAACGTTTGTCGTGGTGTTTAAAAAAATATTACCTTCACAACAACAAAAAGCATTTTACCTTTAATTTACAAAACTACCTGAACGTCCTTGAGAACCAGTTAACTTCGTGTGGCCTAAGGATTTCATTTAACACACACACACACACATATATATATGTATGTAATTTCAAATAGTTTTGTTATATATTATTATATGCTTTTATTTATTTTTTTTCTACGGTTGAAATGTCATTGGACTAATTTTTAATACAACAGAGTGGTGGCGTGATGAACCGTTTTGACCATTTTGTCAATCTATCATTACGGGAGGGCAACAGTGTTACTTACAGATTCGTTTAAAGTACTGAATTCTACCTCTGTATTGATAACACAAATAAGTACAGCGTATAATCTATAACGAGGTGAACACGACTCTCTCTCTCTCTGCTATAATTTCTTCTCTATAATACGAAGCAATAGACCTCAGGATAACAAACCTAACCGTAAAAACTTCTCACATTTATTCAACACCGATAAAACAAAACAATCATCTCGATATATATATATATATATATATATATATATATATA